TGCCCTCCCGGCCGGGGGCACCCGGTGGGCCGGCTCCACTGACAGCAAGAGCAGCCCCTGCTTGGGGAGCCCCCAGGCCGGGCACGTTCATCTCGGCCCCTGCGCGCACCCAGCAGCTTCGGGTGCTTGTCAGGGGTCGTTCTGGGTCGCTCTCTTCCTGACTTTATCCATCATATCTAAAGACTCGCTACTTCGCAAATTTGCGTAGTTAACTTTGGTTCCTAAAGTACCTGGGGAATTGTGCCGTATCAGTATTGCATCCACCATATTCAGTCAGATTAAGCCCAGTATTGCCAGTCTGAAACTTTCAAAACTTGCCTTAAAAATCATCATCAAATGGATCTTAAGCTTTGAATTCTTAATGCAGATATATTTGGATTTTTTTATTTGCATTGTGAGCCTTGGAGCCTTTTAGAGATGCCTTGAAAACTCTGAAACCTAGTGAGATAACCTGTGGCAATCGGAAGACTCCCAAATCAGCGCATTAGTGCCGGTCTGTTGTTACAAGCTCTTATTTGTAGTTAGTAAGTGCTCACAACGTACTGGGGGAAACTCAGTTCCCCTGAAATGGAGGGAGCAGCAAATGTTCCATACTCACTTCAGTGCATTGTAGTGGAACTGAACAGGAGAGAGGGACAAATAAAGGTACTTTTAGGAATACAACCTAAGTTAATTACTGTTGTTGCATCTAGTGACCACCAACGGGACAGGGAATGTGGCAGGAGAAGGGAAAGCAGCAATAAAGGCAAAGCCCATTAGCTGTTGCCAGTTCAGGAGCCTGGCAGTTCAGGAAGATGTGGAGCTGCTAAGCCTTGAACAGCAGATTTAGTTCCCTAACTTCTGGTGCAGAAGTTTCAGTAAAGGTGGGCTGTCTGGTGGGCAGGGTTCAGTGTACGTAACGGTCTGCTTAGCCTAGTAAATCTGTCATAGGGAACTGATGACTGCATAGTGTGCTGGGGAGAAGAGCAACATGTACTTTAACTTGGTTGGTTGAAATAGCAGTTTTGTTTTCATTCCTCCCCCAGATTAGTGGCTAAAAAAAACATCACCCCTCTACAGTAAAAACAAAATGTGCATAAAGCAAGGATGACTGTTTATAAAACGTACTGTGGTCCTTCTGACAAATAGTTTAATTCCCAGCAAATGTATAAGATAGTCTGCCTTTAGGTGGTAGAGCTAGTTGTGGTCATTTAGTGTCTTTGTCTAAGTAAACTTATTGATTGTACCCAGCTCCACTGAAGCAATTCATAAACAGAAAATACCAATACAGCAACCAGTAGCACTTTGCCCAGAGCACCATCTGTGCTCCAAGCTGCTTACTCTAATACTAAACAGTACAAATCTGTTGATTTGATAACACAATGTCGAATGGTAAATCTGGATCAGTGTTGCATATATCCAAGATTAAGCATTTCTGAGTCAAAGCCTTCAACTCCATTAAAAAAGAAATAGGCCCTAATTCTAATCTTGGTACAGTAGTGTTAGTGCTGAGTTACTTTGCTGATTTCACAGACATGACATCATCTTTATTTAATGGTAACTGAGATGACTGAGGTGTGTCAGCCTGAGCTCTAACTCCCAAAAGCCACAGTAGTCTTAGTTCATTTTTCTACCAAGTAAAGCCAGCCTTGTAATTGCTTAGGAAAGACTGGAGGTGCACGGAATTCATCATGGCACTGTTTCCTTGCAAAGGAAACCTCTTGTAAGCAGACTACGTGTCTGAAAAACATACACCTGTCTGTAGACTAACTAAATGAGAAACGTTGAACAAAGACTACTAAACACATCAAGACAAAACAATTACACTTAAATATGAATTTTATTGCTAAGGCTATTTTGCTATAAATTAATAATGAGAATGAGGACATATAGTAAAACAGCAATTAAGATAAAGAGTGCACAAGAACATGAAGGATCAGGGAGGGGGGAAACATTTGCTGCACGCTACCCTCCATGACTTACATGTACCTATCTTAGTCATATCATGAGGAGGAGAAGCCACACACAATTTGAAGAACATGGGTGTGAATCTTCTTTTACTTGACTTGCTTAGCTGGTTCCATCACCTATTGAATCTTCACCGAAGAACAAACAAAAGGAAGCCAGTATTGTGTGACATTTAGGGTAGCTCCATCTAGACACAGCTCAGAATGTGCTTCAGCACTAGAAAAGATGTGTCTTTGCCAAAAGTCAGTGCAGTTGCTCTGAACATTAACACTTTCTATCCTTTCCTCCCTAGTTCATAAGCCTTTACCCACTCAATAGAAGAGGCTGGCTCCCTAGCCCCCCACGTTTTAAGCAAAAGAAACCAACAGCTATATTTTCATAGGTAACTAAGAACTTGGGAGGGGGCCCTGGTTCACCCCTTCAATTACCAGGCCAAGCATTCTCACCCCACTCTCTGGATGCCTGGCTCCATCCAGCTGTCTACAACTGAGAATCCCAAAGTAACTAGTCACAGATGAACACACAGACTCATGGCTTCTGTCAGCACTGCCGTTTAATTCTGAACAGACTGTAACTGCTACACAACAGATTTGGTCATCCTTAACTGACAGTGTGCACTGCAGAAAACAGTGGCACTGTAGTGGCTGTGGACCTCCCATAGCTTTAGGGAGCTCAAGTGTTGGGCCCTGGGCAGGGAAGTGTGTGCTTGGGTGCTATGCAGGTGTAATTGAAATCACAGCATCATGAATAGCACCATTTGGAAACAAACACCTGTTTAGGACTATCATTTCAATCTGTTTTGAAAATGCTCTTGCCATACCCACTACCTCTTCGCATCACTGTGGTATTGCCTATCTGCAGAAGCTGGCATGGCAGTCCCTCCAAGCCCTGAAATCGACTCTGGCCCTGCTCCTTCAGCTCACATCAGCATCTACACAAATGGCAGATATATGAAGTACTGGACTGGGCAGAGAAAGGCTGTATAGTCATGACTATGTATCCAGCCAGATATTATTACAGGTATGACCAAATCTCCACTCTGTTCCTTCGAAAGAAATCTCTGAGCTTTAACCAGTGAATTCAAGGGGCAATCCCCATGCTGCTGCTCTGTGCACCAAGACATTTCCACTTCTATTTCTGCAGTGAGATCAGGAAGGCTACAAGCACCTGCAATAAGATAACTACTCTCTTGATTTTATGCTCTAGCAGTTTTGTACATTTGCTTTCTAGCTTCTAAATGTCTATGCTACTAGGATAAAAAAGTAGCTCATGATTTTTCTATAAAAGCAGCCTATTGTTACCAAGATAGAACTAGAATCTTCTGCTTCAATTTGTAAATTTCTTTCCCCTTGAGAAGGGCTAAGGTTATTTTTTTTTTAACAGAGACTTATTTAAATTTGAACTTTTAAAAAGATCATTTCTTGCTTTGAATTCAACCCAGGAGTGTTTTGCAATCAACAGTCTTTATCTTGCATACTTCACTTGAAGAAACTGGGGATCTAGATACAGTTATCTCCTGACAGCACAAGACAGGTTCCCCTGCTGTGATCAACAGCTCTGACACAAAAAGCCCCCCAAAAACCACACAATAAAACTCTGAACTTAAAATAAATTATGAGCTGATTCACCTCATATTATTCTTTCACAATCATTATGAAATTTTAAAGAAATCACAATGATGTTCAATTGTTTTATTCTCCCCCACCCCTTACAAGCTAAATATCACATAGGGAGAAGAGGAAATGGAGGCATTCTGCAGAACTAGTTATATTGCAAAGCGCAAACTGAACAGCAGTGTAGGCCTGTAATCAGCTTCAAGGTTATTTCAAGGCTTAAAAAGGGTAGAAATGTTTGTTCACTTAAGTTCCAGATAGTCACCATCTCTTTCTGACCTTGGGGGTACCAGGCCTCTAAGAGAACTTCAGTAGTGTACTCCAATTCCTTTTGGTTTGGACTAGCATTATGAAACTTTAGCTACAGTCTTCTTTTGAACCTCCAGCAAGTCTTTTCAGTACATACCACTGGCAGAACACATACAGCTTGTATTAATCTGTGAAAGGACATGCATGCACATTGATGTACCGCTCCAAACCAAAGTTTCTTGAAAGAAGTTTACATTCTCTGGATAGGCCTGCTTTTAGTAACACAGCCAAGATTACATCTGTCTGTTTCCTTCTGATGATTTCAGTTTGTTGGGTCAGTCCTAAGAGTCGTGAAAGCTTAGTGCTTCCCCGGCTGCTACCCAAACTCTTGTCCACAACCTCTGTTGCTTAAATACGTAGTATAGAGCCAACACAGCTTTAGGATGAAATTAAAAAGGTTGGGGCTTGATCTAAATTTATATGGGTGCAAGTTCTCATCTATTTTCATCTTTCCTGACATACCTGAAACCCCATGAACCTTAAGGAAATCAACTGACTTCTGAATCAAAGCGTAAGACTTAACGTATTAAAACAGTATGAATACAGGAAGCTGAAAGTAGAATTATAAAAATAAGTCCTCTCACTATAAAGAACTCAACTTAGGCACCCTGCCTCTTTTACCTGAATAAAAAAGCATGTGCATTTCTTCAGAGCTTTCTTTCCCCTGCCAAGCACAGCTCAGCGTGGATTATAACAGGATAAGGTAACAGGCCACATAACACACATAACAGTTGTACTCCAGGTTACAATCCATAGCGCAGCAGCCTGCAGGAGCACATTGTAGAAGGAACCAGACATACAAGCATAAGCCAGCCAGGTTCCTTGGAGTGTTTTCCTTAACAAGTCATGGAGGGAAACAAAGATGTGCTTGAATGCGAAAGGAAGGGTGCATAAAACAAACCCAGGCTCAGCTGTGCTTAAAACTAGTTGCAAATAATTAACCTGGTTCAGGAAACCTTGGAGGCTAAGAGGCAGACATTCTATGCTAGCCATGGCAAGGCAACTGATATCAAAGTGCCTGTGTGCAAGGTCTACTTGTGCTGTTTGTCTCTCCCTTCTTGACTATTACTGCCTGCAGAGGGGTTCTGGTAAGCTCAACAGGGTAAGGGTTGTTCAAGTTACTTTTCCTCCTGCAGACTCTGCAGAGCAATAGCAGTAATGAGCAGAGACACTAGACAATGGCCTCTTCATCTGCAATGCAGTTGGTACAGTGTCTGAGGCGACTGTCCTACAGATGAGGAAGATCACTTGCAAAGCTAAAGATCCATTACTTCCATCTGGCCAGAGTGGAGTGATTCAGGATAGAGAGGGAGATGGAACAACAAACATCGGTCTTCCTTGCCACTGGTCATTCACATTTCTGGGAGAATAAAAGAACTGAGGAGTGCTGCCGCTTCTTAGTGGTTTGCTTATACGTTATCAAAGACAACTTCACCTGGATGGTGTGAGAGACAGGTATAGGATTCCATCTGAGAAAACACACTACCATCTGCAGGCAAGTTTGAAAACAAAAAAATCCTCAAACATGGCACACTACCTAATGCCAAGGAGTTTCTGCTGAGCTGTATGTTTGTCCAGGGAACGTTCAAAAACCAGTAGAACACACATACTAATGCAGGGCTCCTGTAAACCTCCTATTTGGACCAGATTTTAGACCATCCCAAAAAAACATTTTTTCTATGGCATTTACAGTAACAGTCTGTTCATAAAGCTGGTGACTGCTACCATGTTACAGTGGTGCTCATATTGATCTGTACCAGTACAAATCCCTGTAACTCCAAGCATCAGAGCAGAATTCAAAAGCAGCACATGCCATCTCCAACCACTTAACTAAATGGTGCCTTTAAACTCTCCTTAGGACAGTTAAGAATCAGTTATTAAGATATCACTACTGAAAAAATAACTATTGCATTTCTTAAAGTTTAACAGTAGACAACATTGCCAATATATTATTGCACAAATAAAGGTTTTTGGAACTACAAAGATAAGGAACAGGTAATCTAGAAGACCCAGAATAATGATCCCAGAGCCATTCCGGTCGCTGCTCCAGCAAGCATCCCCAGTGCAAGATCTCCATCGCTGTCACGGTAACGCTCTCGAATGATGACATGGTTTGCAGGGGGTTGGCCATAAGGTCCTAGGTAATAAGAGATTGTTAGGAGGAGGTCGAAAGAAATGTACATCTTAATACATGCATTGTGATTTCAAAACAGACCCTTTCTTTCACCCTCTTCCTTCCATTGAACGCTAAGATGATGTTAGCTACAATGGTAGAATACATCTCTGCTTTGGATTCAGCCTCCACATTTATTAAATAAATCCAGAGGCCTAGCAACACTTCTAGCCTCGTAAGAGTGCAATATCTGCGAGAAAAGCTCATCGCAAACGTAAAACTGAACGTTGTTCTGCATTTGTATTAGCAAAGAACCTATGAACTACTTATCAAACACTTAGTGGTTTTAATGCAAGAAATTAGTCTAAAAATTGATTCAACCTTGAAGTTAAGGAAAACAGTGTAGTTCCCTCCCAAAAAAATCTTTGGCAGCTCTTAAGCCAATGGTTTGGCAGAAACTGTGTATCAGTTATTTACTCTACAATTGCTGCCTACTATTTCAATTCAGCCTTCAATCCTGGACTGAGCTGTTGTGTGGCGACAGCTGCTATGTTTCTTTCCAGATGAAGACTGGCCCAGTAGTAAGGAATTAACCTGAGACTCGAGAAACCACCAATTGACCCTTGCTTGCAACAGACTTGAACAAGCTCTACCTGTCATGTTTTGCAAACATAATGGTATTGCTTTCCCTTCCAGACATTTCAGGAAGATTAAGTATTCGTGAAGGTATTGCAGTGTTTTTTGTAACAGATACTGAAGCAATCCAACTAATACAACTGGAAAAAGCTCTGACTGACTCTCAACGATGCATGACTGAGAATCTAATGAGAAGGATTATGTCAATTCAGAGAATGAGCAATGAAGCCAAATGTACAGGGGTTAAGTTAGTTAGTTGCTAGGGGTGGACTTGACCCCTAAGATTTAGTTGCAGTAAACCCTAGTGAAGGAAAACATTGAGGCTTGGTTACTATGCCCAACCTATAACTAGTATCTTAACACACCCGACTTTCAAAATGTTTAGGAGAGTTACTGTTTAAAGCTGCATTTCTATCGTACAGGTTTCTGAGGCTTGATGTCCAAGGCCTGCTGGAGTTTTTAAAAATGGTTCTTGGGACTTTCAACAAGCTGCTGCTTTTCAACTGCTGAGAACCAACAGAACCCACCTGTCTCTGTATAGATCTGATATGTATGTTAGGACTTCACTAACTTAAATGAGGAAAACTTTAAAAGCGTTAGGCTGATGCACCTCCCTTGTAACAAAAAATGGAAAAGACAAATAACCTGACAAATGTCAAATGGAAAAAAAAAAAATCTCCTTCAAACCGAAAAAATTTCTGAATAGAGATTCCTGTTTGCAGAGCCAGATCATAAACAATTAGTATGTTAAATCTTCTGATTTGTATTACCCATACTACTCTGAAGCCCCAGTTCTGTTGGATTTGGGCTCTCTATGCAAAGCTAATCCTAAATTACAGTGACTAAGCTTAAAAGCATACCCTAAAATTTTAGTCTCTTTCCTCTTTTATTGGGGTTGAAAGCTATACAAACCTGAACAGAGCAAAAGACGACTTCACAAGGCTGACTGTACTGCCTTACAGCAATTCCAGCATGCAGGGAAGGAACCAGTTACCACCATGCTTTGGGAGTGGTTTTACCTTTGAAACTTGCATTTAATTCTAAGGTCAGAGCTGAACATCAGTGTTGAAAGAATTAAGCTAGGTGTAAGAGCAACAGCTGGATCAAAAGCTCCATCAGTGCCTAATATGGAGTACTGAATCAATCTTGTTCTGGTTCTTCTATCTTTCCTTAGAAAACATGCTGCCTACTGTAGTTAAGAGTTCTGTGTGCTTCAAAAAGAATTTATGAAGTAATTTAAATATGCTGTGATCACACTGGGAAGGTTAAATCACTTAACACAAATTTCACTGCACTTGCTCTGTTGTGAAAGGGTAAGGGAACTTGGTTCCAGTTACAAGTGAGGTTTCTTTCCATCACTCTGTTGTGCAGGAGTGGCGGGTGGTAAAGGACGGTGATTAATAAAATGAAAGCCAGAAAAACTGACTCAAATAGCTTCTATAGGAAGGTGAAGGATATGGTTGATACTGATTACCTTGGTATGGATACTGATAAGGAACAGCATAAGCTTGTCCATTGGAGGCATAAAAGACTTGAGGACCAGTAGGGGGATATGCACCATTGTACTGATCGTAGCCATAGCCGTAAACCTGGTGAAATTAAAAATGTGCATTACCAGAAGTATTCTTTGCTATGTATCCAACTATGCACTTTGTTCAATTGTCCTTCATTTCTAATGCTGTTAAAGTTTCCCTAAAATATCCAGCCTGTACTGATATAGTCTGTCTATTCCCTGGAAAGGATTTAGAACAGCTACTTGAAAAATTATATGCTCCTAAGCAGCATTCGCTCTCTACCCTTCCTGGCTGGTGAATGGCAGAGGCAGGGCCTGGATCATCAGGCAGAGCCACAGCAGCCTTAGCAGCTTCTCCTCTCTGCCCTCACACCCACAGTGTTTCTCTGGAGCGCTCAGAAGTGCCAGGTAGGCAGCAGCTGATCCCAAGAAACTCCAACCAACTTTCCTCCAGCACACTGCAAGTGAATGTCGGGTTCAGGACAATACTTTGTAGCCGTATGTTTTCAAAGCAATTTTGTTCTCCAAAAGAGGAGGCTCCTGCTTGCCCTGATACAGCTGCCAGTATCACATCCAGTTCTTAACAACTACTTGTAACAGCGAGGGGCTGGAGCAGAGCACCGATAGTGCAACAAGTAATACCATCCCAAACTATCCCTTTGTGTATCGCTGCCGCGAGTCAGAACATCCAGAAATCCACAATGTATACTGGTTTGGCCCCCATGCTGCTCCTTCTCCACTGCAAAAGAACTGTGCATCCAGAAGCTAGTTATTGTGTTGCTGTAACGTCTTGGATACAACAAACCTTACGTGTTAAAAGTGACAGCTCCAGTCATTAAATCCTATTTTTAAAACTCCTGATTTTATACCCTTCCAGTGCTTACACTGGAAAGTGTAGTTACACCTCCTTATGTTAAAAGCTGACTAAATAATTTCTGCCCTGTCTTTAAGAAACTTTATTTTCCAAGTTCACTTAGCAGCCATACCTTTATATACCTCCCAACCAAATCTGCCTCATCCCTTTCAAAGGAAATCCATCTCAAATAGGAGTGACAGTAGATTTTTAGCGCCTTCCTCTCAACTCTCCTTTTGTACAAATCTTAAAGCTGGATCTAACTGTGAAACGTGGCGCTTTGGGAGTACAGTTCGGGTGCTTGAAGGGTGGCCACTTCTGCTACCTCACTTATTTTAATGCTTCCCGACTGCAACTCTTACCTCAGGTGATGGTGTGGCATAAGCTGTATAGGGAGGAGGGGCTGAGGAAATGGCTGTCTCATCATACATCACATCAGATCCCACGTAGCCCTAAGCACCATGGAAGGGTAGCAGTTATCACCTTTTCCTACAGATAGCCCGTCAGAGTAGTGCAAGGAGTAAAACTTAATGACCCCAAAGAAAGAGTAACCGGCTGAATGTTAAGAAAGCAGTGAGTACCTTACAAAGCACTGGAAAAAGAAACTACTTGGAGAGCAGACCTAGAAGAACACAAATGCCTGATCAACCACAGGGAGGAGCCATAAAATTTCTTACCTGTGCGTGCACACACGCATATGTGTGCATGCAAGCACACCAACTCCTTCCCTCATTTCATAGCCTCAGTTTTAGAAGTTACCCTCTTGTTCATCCTCTATTTTCAGATTTAAAAAGTCTTCACAGCTAAGCTAGCTGCTTCCTGGCACCCTACAGTGGTATCACCAAGTTCTGCAAGAGCAGATAAAGAAAACAAATGCAGTAGCCAAAAGTGGCACTTGAACATTTTAGTAGAACACTGTGACAGTTCTTAGCTACCTCTCATTTTCTGGCTGTAAGGAGACTTAGAAAAAAAATGCAGTAAGAGAGGTTTAAATGTAGGGATTTAAGATGTTTGGTTGTTTTTATGGAATTACTTTGCAAATGCCACCTATAATTCTGGTCCTTTTTGCAGGCAGCCATGAGGCAAAGGTGGTAACTTACTTGACTCCATCCACAAGGAGCTCTCAAAGATAATTAAGGTTTATTACAGTAGCCTTGTATTCTTTCCCCTCAGGTCAGAAATCTACAGTGATACTCTTAGTCAGTGCCCTATCCCCCCCCCCCAAAAAGCTGCTTTTTTTTTTTTTTTTTTTAATTTACAAGTGAACATTTTAATAGCTGAATAGAGAATGTTCCTATTGTCTCTTGTATCTGGACTGTAGAAAGACTTTTGAGGGCATACTATGGCCATACCTCAGATCAAACTTGTGGTGGAGAGTCTAAGGATTGCTTGAAATACACTGTTGAAAGCACTGTATGAAGAGGCAAGTGTATCTACCACCTGAGAAAAAGTCCAGCAAATGCTCACATCTTAGCAACAAATGTATTCTGTTTTGCTACAGGGAACTTTGTACAGCCCTATGACACAAGCCTGCAAACATCTGTAAATGACACTTCTCAAAGCTAAGGTGATCGCCCTGCTACTCAAGTAAAATTATGAGGCACTGCTGGATGCTCGGTATTTTTGAAAGCTGTGTCAGACACCTACAGATGGCCTCAAAGCTGGTTACCCGGTTAGTTCAAGTCTTTGTTGGAGACTTTTAATAGGTTTGGGAAGCGCTAATTTATGATGCTACTTGAGCAGAGAGCTACCTGCCCTACTTTGAGTAGCAGGGGTCTGCCTTGGCTGACAAGGGTGATGGCAAGTTTTGGATGCCTTCTAGCAGGGCTTGCAGCTGAGTGTGAGAGACATGAAAAGCAGCAGCTCCTAACTCCTGAAATCAGGAGTCACCAACTCACACATAAGCAAGATAAAGGCCCTAAAACTAGAGCAGATAGACCATGAACATCGTGTCCTCTGTGTGAGGACAATTCCTTCGCTTCTCATCTAACACCATGAAGCAGCATAGCATAGCTGCAGTCAGAGGCAATCATGTCCAGGGTAGTTTTGCTATGACCTGTTTGCTTTGGGTAGCTAGAGATCTAAGTTATATCATATGACAGATGCCTCAGTACAGTGGCAATGTTAATTTGACCATTAAAAACTGAGATAAGCTTCTACAAAACCCAGCATTTCCCCATGAAACAGAAACATCTCCGGTTGGTTCAGTCTAGCTATCTAAGGAAATCTAGTGCTGAAGAGTACTCTGGAAGGCAGTCTGGAGGAAAAACAAATTAACAATACCCACAAGTGGATGGATGTGGTTCCCCAAAGATCCAGTTCTCTAGAGAACTCCAAGACTCATAGAGAGACATTTGTGATTCCTGACCTCTTCATTCTCCACAGCTAGCATGCCAATGCAGAGGTAATATACTCCTCCTTGGCATGCCTGCATTCCCCTCCAAGCACCTCTTGCTCCTCCCCTAGTCTCTGCCAAGAAGCATCCCACAATGTAATGGATCTACGTTAACAAACAGCTGCTTTGCAGTAATCTTTCTTTAGCGCTGCACCTGGTAGGCAACAAGCACCAGGAATGGAAAGTACATTTTTACTGGTTGCAGAAGATTTACTTTTTGTCCACAGCCTCAGTGCCCACTTCCCTTATAGACCAGCTTCCCAAACATTCATTTCCACCCAGAGAAATCGTTCCCTGAAATCATTCACTTCCACCCAGCATGGATTTGTCTGGACTTGGCTGCAAGGATGACATGTGCTTGTGATCCAGAGGATCATTCTTCTCCCCACCCACAAGCCTTACCATCACACTTATGACCCTGTTTTTCTCTAGCAGAGGAGGAAGTGATTTCAGAAGTAAACTGCTGGAGCACACGTAAGACTGATGTGCTGCTTCTCTATCAGTATAAAGTCTAGGCAGTACACTTACTGTGTTTGTTCTGGCATCCTGAAGAGCAATTTTCCATGCCCTGCAAAAAAAATCCCCCGTTGTTTAGTGGGACACTGATAAAAATTAACTCCACTTTTTCGTCTTAGGACTATGAAAAAAAAACAGGTTAGCAACTAGAGGTACTGCAGGAGCAGAGTTTAAGATACTGCATGTGTCAAAGCCTAATGTTACACTAAAATTAATGCACAAAGGTGTTACACCAAGATTGAGAAATCATTACTTTCTTTGCAGAGCTGAGAAGGAATGAGGAGGAACACAAGACAGAACAGATGGAGTTTTGAAGGTCCTCACGGCAAGCACAACAGCCAGGTAATATGTGCCATGCTCAGGATAAAGAAATAAGAAGGGGCGCACCAGAGAAGTTATGTCTCTTGCCTTAACAGTTGCATCTGTGCTGACTAGAGTGTGTCTCTTGATGCTATTACAGTCTGAACAGAAGGTACACAGACTTCATGCAGATACTCCCGTGCTGTATGGCTGGGAGCATGCTCAAAGTACCATACATACTTGGCAAATGCTGATGATGATCTAACTCTATGTAACTAAGCTCGGTTGAGAGTTCACAATAATAGAGAGTATTATTGCTTTCACTACTGATTGGGACATCCTTGGGTGTTGCACAGTCAGGTACTATTTGAAGAATGGGAAAAGTGGAAAAATCAAATCTGTTCAGCAAGTCTTGCATTAACCATATTAATAAAGATTTTTTTACTCCTCCTCACCCTTCAGTGTTTTAAGTGACTTAACTTGCAGTTAGTTTGCATGAGCTAGGCAACTTCTTCTAGGAGAGCTATATTTTTTGTCACTGAAAGCCTGCTTTTACTTGCTTGATAACTTTCTTAAAATGTGTCTCTGAAAGTCCAAATGAGAGAAAATAAGTGGGCAGAGGGAGAAAAAAGAAAGATGAAAGAGGAAGACGCAGCAAAACCAAGGTTCTCCGGCAGACTTACAGGCAGTCATCTGCACTCTCTGCACAGAGGTTGACTGTCTTCCCATCACGGCAAACAATCTGCAGTAAACAGTCTCTCTGCTTCCCCTCTGGAGGCTGGAAATCTGAGTCAGAAAAAAAGAGATGAGTTATGAAATATCTACAACCAGAATTTCATTATGTCATTTACAAGAAGGGAGACAGTTTATGCAAAAGTCTGGACAAAATAAACTAGGGCCAGTTGTAGCTGCTTTCCATGGCATCAGAACAAATTACAGACGGAAAGAACCCGTACTTGCTCTTTAGAGCATCCTGAACATAAGTAGCTCTGAACATCATTCCTAAGAAATGCGGGTGTCTTACAGCAGAATCATAGAATCCTAGGTTGGAAGGGACCTCAATGATCATCTAGTCCAAGCTTTCTAGGTGAGAGCACAAAAGAACCAATCCACATTTAGCAGCTGCAACACTAGTGTCCTTCACTTGTGTCAGCATCAAGTAGAAGACTAACAAATGCTAGAAGTGAACTTAGTAATACTTGAAAAATACCTGCTGAGGTTTTCCATTGCTAGTACTGCCTTCTCACTGCAGCCAGCATTACAGTTACACCAGTAACACTCTATAATCAGCCACCCAAGTTGGCGGTGAACATCCCATTCTCGTGTTGATGCCTGCTGCTTGCATATATGGTATGCTGTCCTGACGGAGTTTTAAAAGGAAGTATCAAACCCTAACCTAATCTATCACATGGTGATACCACGCCCTGGGTATCTATAAGGAAATTTAGTAGTTGGTTGGGCTGGGTTGTTTTTCAAAAGGGATGAGGGGGTGGTGGTTTAACAACAGTGAAGTTGCACACTTCTTGGACATGTTTGCTTCTGCAGTAGTGTTGTAAATGGTATGCTGGGCAGGCACTGAAGTTGTAAAGAATCTCCGAAACTCCTGAAGGTTTCATTATTACCTCGACATTCATTCCCCACTCTGAGGTTAATGCAATGGATTCGCATGTGGATTTTATCTTCTATATCATGGCGATTTTGATCATCATAGAATATTAAGCGTCCATCCGACCACAGGTCAAACCAGTTCTTCTTCCAACGTCGTAAAATAGTACCTTAAAAATCAGACAGTCACTTTTGAAGGGCACATATTGGGAAGTATTTGTGTCCTAGAGTTAATAAAAAACAAACCAAGAAATCCTTCACAGTTACCCCAGACATTCTGAGGTGCCAAGCAAAATCCTGTACTACATCCCCACTTGAGAACATTACAGAATTGAGTTCCATATTTTATCTAGTATTCAAAGTCACAACTGAGTTTATTTTAAGTGCATAGCCTGGCGCTTTAGTTCTAACTTGCTGCAAGTAGAAGCAGAGGGCATGACTAATTGAAAACATTAATGTAAGGTGTCAGGTAAAGCTCCCAAGTCTCCACTTGCATAGCACTAATTACAGAGCAGCATCGTAAGCTGAGTGCCAGTCAGACACCTCAGATATGGTATATCCTGTTTCCCACTGGTATACCCAAAAGCTCACGTGGAAATGTTGTCATCACAGGTCATTTTGTGAAGTGTCCTAAAGGTAAAAAAAAAAAAACCACCAACCAAAACCAACCCACAGAGCTAGAGACTTGTTTTAAGAAGGACCTGGGATTTACTAAGTTGCTCTGATGTTTTTTAAAGAAGTTAGACACAGTGGGGAGAAAAGGATGTAAAAGGCCCATGACTTACTTTGCCGGAGCAGCCATCCGCTCTTCACAAATGCCATCGTTGCTTATTCTGGTGCACAGAAGAGGAAGGTGGGGGGGAGAAAAGCAGTTTCAGTATTCCACAATAATACATTAGAAAGAGGCATCTCCAGGTATAATATCATACATTATAGCCATAGGTACCCAGCTAGTATTGCAGAGAGACAAGGTGGTAGATCTCAGCTGAAGACACTCAGTAAGGCACAACTACTATTCCAGGACTTAACAAATGGAACAAATGTGCAATTGTAGCAATCCAATGTGACTGTCAAGAGACCACTTTTAGGTTTAATTGGGAAACGCACAGGCTTACAGCTACCACTCTTGCAACATGGGGAAGGGACAGACTGGAGTGACTGCTTCCTGACTCACCACCAGTTCCTTTCAAAGTTGTTCTCCTGACATACATGTGCTTCCTGTATTCTGCCGTCTAAAGTTACTAAGCTCCCTCACTTCTTCCTCATCTCCCTTTTTCTATACTTCCTCTTCTGTTTTTTTCATTCACTGGCTCAAAGTCCAGCGGAAACAAAAGCTGAAACAGTTTAATCTTAAACAGGAAGGAGAAAGCTGTTTTTATGACTTGTATTTCTTCCAAATTGTCACTAGCTCCCCCCTGCAAGATTAATTGAAATAAGTTAAGCCCATAAAGTGAGATTCTCGTTTCTCCTCAGCTTTTAAATGAAGCTTGAAATGGCATGGGAAGGACTCTGCATTAAATTCACGTTGTCACACATGACATTAAGCACTTGGCCACTGCACTCTGGTTTATGAGCATGCTAAAGAAGAGAGATCAAGCATAGGATGTGTTGGAGGATGAGTTTTTGTTTTATGCTAATGGTGTTCTGACTATTTTTCCAAAATGGATTAATAAAAACATAACTATCTGGATGCCACTGAACTAGAAAAGCAAGAACAGAAGCATTTTAAGCCTCCCTTGAGAAGGCTGCCTTTTTTAGAAATTATTTGTGGGGCTTGTAAGCCAATATGAGAGACAGATACTTAAACCTACCAGATAACATTCTACTTGTAGCAGCAGCAGCAGGAGGGGGGGGGAAGGTGGCATAGTAGATTTGATAGACAGAGGAACTCCTCCCACTCAAGGAAAGTGTTTAAAGCTGGGGGGGAGGGAGGAAGAGAAGAGACTTTTGTTATCTTCTAGTAAAATATAAAGTTAGTAAGCACCCACTTATTTTCTCATAGATGTATATATGCCATCTGTTTGATATTACTTGTAGCTCTGTACAGCAAATTCTGTATCACACAAGTAAAGACTATAGCCAGCAGGATTTCATATTGAAGGAATGCCACATCCAGCACAGACTCAGGTGTGATGGTGAGAGCCACCTGCAGGCAAAGTCCAAGATAAACCTCTTACTCTTGGCTTTTGTACCAGCTCACTGGGAAAACAAACATTTAGCTGACAGCCCATTGAAAGGGAGTGTCAAACTCCTATCCTGCTTTAATCCTGGTCACCAGGTCCTGCTCTGAGGTATAAGCATGCTGTTGTCACCTGTCTACAGAGGGAGAGCTTCAGAAATAGAGGCCAGTTTATTCTTCCAAAGTAGCAAAGCGGTACCAAGGACCCGAGCCTCATTCTCCTGCCACCCCAGTATGTGCTCCTTTCCCCCTAGATTGTCCTTTACAAGGAAATAGTTTTCTTGCTCTTCGGTTTCACTGGAATGGGTCTCTCCAATGGTGCTTCCATGTCTTCTAGTTTGCCCACTAAGGTGAAATCACTATATATTTCTAGAGACCTTTGAGTAGTCTAAGAGCCAGTAAAGCCCTGCATGAACTTCAGTTCTGTTGCAAGTGCTAGATTAGGCCACTGAGTATTGCTGCCTTTAAACCTACTCTCTTACACAACAGCATAATTAGATTCAACCTAGAGACATAAAGGGGAAGAAATGAAGAAGGAAACATTTATCTTGGAGAATTAAGCTTTGCCTGTCGTTACAGAACGCCTCACAACCAAAGTCTGCCATTACAGAAATGTCTCACTGCTATCTAGGCCTACAACAGCGAAACAGGCTTTGGTGGCCATACAGCACCTTGCACGTAAGCTCAGATGCAGCAACTACGTTTTCCCAACACAGAATTTAATTACCCAAAATTTCAGCTCTGCATAGAGAGCAAGGAATCACAAAGAGCAATCTGTCAGCACTGAAGTAGGAGGTGCAAAAACAAACAGATATTCTTCCCTGGCCCTTTTTAAGCACAAGCACTCACTTGAAGCCCAGTGCAGTATTCACAATCAACCCACATTACATTTAAAAAGAGTATTTGCAGAGCTAGAATATAGCCTGGCAAGATCAGCTGCAACTGAGTATTATTTGCTTGGTAAACTAGCTGAGTGCAAACCAACATGGAAAATGGGATTTAAACAAAGATATCAAAGATCAGTTTATCACCAATCTCAATAAAAGTTCCTTGGTGACTGAAATCTAAAAGCAGTAGCACCCTAAACTGAACACAAGTTAAGAGTCAATGCAGCAAAGGGGTGGCACTATTCCCTCCTGCTCCCCAGAGCAGCAGTTTTCTTTTTTTGCACAGAATATGATGTGGAATATCCGACAGTCTATTCCAGTTCACTTCTTGTTCTCAAACCCAGCTGGCTGGTAGGAAAAGCAAACTTCGGAACAAATTGTTTCTACTTGCAGCTTGTAATTACTAGAGCAATTTTGATTAATGCAGTCAAACTAGCAATGGACCCGATTCTGCAATCGGTGTAGATGGACGGGGCCCAGCCACACAGGGCCGCTACCGAGCGGAGTCCCAGGCCACCAGCGGTGGCCACTGACACCTCACTGTCACTCCATTCCCAAAACTTCGGGTAGAGAACTACAGAGAGCTGAGAGTGTTCAAATGTGACCCTATCTGCCCCCCTCCCCCTTAAAACAAAGCAAGTTTTCTATTTTGGGAACTTTCTGACTCCACAACTAGCTACACGCAGGCCTTTTTTCCACGAAGCTGCCTTTGGTTTAGCCAACGCCCGAGAGAGGTGGCTCTCGGTTCAAGGCCTGCTCATCCGTGAGCGTGTCCGTGTTCAGGCACAGGCGGTTTGGAGAGGCACCATCCCACCGGGGCAGCTCCCCCCGCGGCCTCCCGGCGGCAAGCAGGCCC